CCGTAACTACACGGTGAGTCTGAATTAATCGCACATTCGTGAAATGCGAATCATTCCGGATTGCTGCAAATGAATATCGGGTAACGCCGCGCAAATCTCGTTCGTGGCATATCCAATATTCGGAAATCGCGTTTTCCGGGTAGCGGATTATACAAAGCAAACATTATAGCATTCAATATTGAACAACACTCCAGCGCATGGAATAAAAAGCGCTCTTAGAGCGTTATGTCCGTTATGTCGGTCATTTTAATGAACAGCTAAGTTCATTACCGAAAACGTTAACAAATGGGATGCATATAAATTCCTACAATTATTACTAATCCAACAGTCACTCGGTTCGTTTATTCAACGAGCCTCGAGTAGGAACGGACCATTTCTAACGAAGGGAGAACAAGAAGAGCGAACTATTGCCGAGGACCATTTTTCAATATTAAGGAAGCTTTAAGGATGATTTAAATAAGCTCGAGAAAGCTCGACGGTACGCGACCTGAAAAGTCGGACTTCTTCGATTTATGGGAAGACGCCGGAGACAGCTTAGAGTCTCTCTTTGCGCGCTCGCATTTAACCTCGCCCTATCTCTCCGTTGTTTCTCTTTACTATTTCTCCTTGTACCACCTCGTTTCTCCTCGTTTTTATCGCTCCCCGGATTGCTCGTGAAAGAGCTACGCGAAACCGTAAAAACCAAAGTTCATTGACGTAAACCTGATCAAGACTGTTGTTGGAATAAGAAAGTACGGCTTTGTCCGACTTCACGTTCGTTATAACCCTTTTATTCACTTCAGCGTGTATGGATATAAAAAGCAAGATTCGTTTTATTTCCGCGCTGAACTTTCTGTACGTTTTTTTGTTTAACCAAAATTTATACAGAAAAATTAAGGCAGATTCAAAAATCCAAAATTATCATCGAAACAGACAACCGTTCATTCATATTAAACAATTTTCAGATTATGTTTTATTAAAAAATATGTTTCTCTTTTCGTAAAATCTTCTCTAATTACTTCAAATCGCACATGTAAGAAAGAGAATTAAAAAAATATTTTTCATTCAATCAAACAATCGCACCCTAAAAATCATGGAACAGTCGTGTATATATTACAAACTTTCTGAGATGTTGCAAAAAAAACTGTTCTTTGACGGACGGAAATGCGAATGAGTGATTGATATCCGGTCAATTGTCAAGCTCGGAAGGCGAATGGATGCACGGTCTGCGATAATTTACCGACAATCTCTCGACACGCGCCGCGAGCATTAAAAATAGGAAAGAAGAGATGGG